CTAGCCACAGATTAGTCCTAGGCCAAAGCCCGGGTTTTCAAAAATATCGATCCTATCTTGAGAATATACGAATGATCTATGATGGATTTGGTCAGCTAGTGCCTTGAACTTACCACTGAGCAACAGGAGATCGCCACGCGCAGCGGACACCGCCATGGTTGAAGCTGTGCGCTGAGCACTCCTCTTGGGGCGCCCAAGCCGCACCGGCCCTAGTGGTCTAGGTGTGGTGGAAGGATGCCCTGGGGAACTGAGAGGGGGAAGGTGGATTGCCGTGCGCGGCGTCGGTGGCCCTGCCGCTGGTGCTGTGTGCGGTGCGCTCTCACGAGTGCCATGGGCGTTCCATTGCTATGAGAGTGACGGACATTCGACCTTTTTTTTTTTCAGCTTGGCCAGATCCCCAACTTGACGAGATCCTCATCTTGGACCGCATGAGTCAAGGAGGCGAGGGGTCTCGCCCCGAGTGCAGCTGCGCTGAGGCGACTCAGCGAAAGCGCATGTAGAGCGCGGACTCATAACCGCAGCAGGCCTCCAAGGCGAACCTGTGCTGCCAATGCTGAGAGCCTGCAACTCGACGTTTGATGTGGCCGTGCACTATGAGCCCGGGGAGCAAATGCCCTGGGTTAGCCCGGTAGTAATGAATACGGAACGTGAGCTGAGTTTAGAACGGTCTCTGATTGATGCACCAATGTCTCCGCGCAAATGCGAATCCGTCCCTGCTAGTCCCAGGGGGGGTTGCCTGGGAAGTCCATAGAGCGTCCCGTCGTCTCCTATAGGTTGTGGAGATGTCGGGTCTGACATCTTCCGTTGCTGTTTTTACTTCGCACGCGAACTCTCATCTGTCCAAAAAACCGTCAATAGTATTTTCCGCAGTTCCCGGCTTGTAAGTGTTCCACTTGTGGCCAATGGCTCGGATGAAAAACTCGAAGTGGACAACTGGAGTTCCAAGCTCTTCTTTGTTTTCAGAATTGTTCGGAAACAACCAAGACCGAGGCCCTTCTTGCTTCGTAGGGGTCTGAGGAGTGGTTGTTTCATCTGGTTTTTGAGAGGAGTTGCCAGTTGGCAAATGTAGTGAGTCGGGGCCTAGATATGGGATTAGGCTGGGATATATTAGCTAGGTAGTTCTAATATCTGGAGAGATAGTAGCCTTTTTACCTCTTTTCAAATTTTCTGTTGAAAATCCCCTTTCTTGAGAGATGCGTCTTTCCGCGACTTTACGGCCGCTACGATAGGTCAATTGACTAGCCGAAAGCGTGAACTATTTGATCAGATGAGAAAACACACACCAATCGAAACCCCAGCTTCATAGCTGTTGCGCAATCTTGTTTGATTCTGCCGTGGTTGGCAGCTTGCACTTTCAACTCGCAACGCGATTGTGTGGTGTTGTGCTATCCCCAATCTAGTAGTTCCTGGTTGAACACTTCCCCTTTGGATGTTTGTAGGGTGCTTCAGCTGTCGACTGTAGGTCCTAGAGCGACTAATGTGGTGATCATGGGGATGTTCCCAGCGTGTACAGCCGTGAGGAGCGGCGCGTCGCTGCCTACGCTGGTGACATAGGTATGTGGCCCCGGAAGACAAAAAGACGGACGAGATCGTGCTGATCTTCACTAACGGCTTCAAAGAATGAGCTCGCAATGCCGCATTCAATCTGACGTGTCTCTCGGCCCGGGGTTACGGGACCATCCTCTTCCGTCGGATGAGTTCCGGAAAGATCTGAGGTTGGCGCACGAAGGACGGGAAAGTTGAAGCCGTAGGCGCGTCCGAATCTCGTTTCAAGGTCAGTCTGAGAAGTTGGTATGAATGCGGGAACCGAGCGTACGGATGATATATCGACTAACGAAAGGCTTCTAGGACGTGCTGTAAGCCTTGGACGGCTGATCTTTTGTGCTGTTGCTGTATGTTTCTCGAGGGATCCTGGTGAGAGTTAGTATAAAGTAAATAACAGCAATAGAAGATGCTAGACCCGACATCTCAACACAATGAAGAATTTATCGAGGGATATGAATGGATGTTGGCAGCAGAGAGTGTCAAATTTGCGTCAAATTAGAAAGAGATGTTGGTGGAAAGTTTCTCGGAATTCAATGAGATGATTAGTCTGTGCTCAGCACCTTCCTTCCTAAAGTTGTATGTACAATCCTACATAACCTTCCTCAACCTGAATTATCAGGCAACGAACGTCGTAGGTTCCCTCTCAACCACTAAAGCACTGGGTAGGTACGTAGGTAGGTACCTCACGCACGAGCACCTGCCTTCATGTTTTCACGCCATAAAATGTCTACTAATCGGACCGACAGATGCTAGAACTAGATTGGCCAAGCTCCTGCATCACCAACAAACAGAACACAGACGTCCTTCCGTGCAAAGGGTCTACGATGACCAGAGAGGTATCAATCAAATAAAATGTAGATAAAAAGCAACAAACGGGGCAGTTTGCAATTTTATGTCATGGGAAATCGATTTCGCATATTATGGATTGGAATGATGTAGATATCAATAACCAATTAGAAACCAAGCGATGAATATAGGGGAGAGAATGAGAACAGAAATCAGTCGCGTAGGCCTGTGCCCTTGGTATATCAACCGGGTTATATGTCAACTACCCCTGTCAGTTAGGAAGAGACAGCGTTGAAATGAGAGATCTAATCCTCGGGAGGAGATAGGGTTTTAGATAGCGTTTAAAGCATATGGCTGATCGTTATTTTCTTTTCATTTACATTACACTGAGAGGCATGGTCTAACCCTACAGGTTTACGGCTTGGAAAATACAGATATTGCATGCTTCATTCCAAATTTCCCCTGAAACAAGCTTGCCAGCCGTTCTTACCATCGCTCCAGGTCTAAGACCTTTTTAATCGGCATCAAGGCGAGCCACAGGTGGTGTATCATTCACCTGAATCCCACTTCGCTTCTTCTCGTTTGCATCCCAGAACGGCAGAGACCAACCACCCTCGCTCACAGGAGTGGAAAGCCAGAGGCGCATCAAGTGGCGCTTGGGCTTGCCGCTCTCGGGAGGGAAATCGGTATACTCGGTTCTCGCGTGCAGGGTGTGGCTGTTGCTAACAAACTGGATGTCGCCGACCTCGAGGATCATGTGCAGCCTAACCCTCTGGCAGGTATCCTCCAGGACCTTGATAGCCTCCTGCTGTTCTGGCGAGAGAGGTGGGATGACGCCGGCATCGGAGAATCGTGTCAGACTGCGCACGAAGTAAGGATCCCACTTGCAGTACACGCGCTGCTCACGATCCGGGTTGTTTGGGTCAGGGGTCTCGAGGTAGAAGACAGCGGTGCGGATGTAGGGATCCTCGTCGATGTCTGTGGAAACCTCGCCCTTGCGGTCAAAGTACCAGACTGGCTGGGTGAGCAGTTCGGCAATGTCCGGTCGCTCCGCTTGAAGGATGTTCCAGACGTTGTGGATAGAAGCAACGTCACTCTCGCCACCGGATTGAGCCCTGGTGATGCAGAGGAGGCCGACAATGTCGCAGGGGTCGGCGTGGAAGAATTGGCGAGCATTGGTTCTGTAGATGCGCACTTTGTGGATGGCAGTGCTGTCCTCCCCAAGATCCTTTACGTGACCCAGAATGTGGCCTGTTTACATGTTAGATTCGTTCTGTGCTTGAAACCTACTGATTGGTGTTGAGAACGTACCTCGGCCGTTTTGGCTGACTGCGTAGCCAATGTATGCGCCCAGACCGATGTAGGCGACGGCAGACTTGTGATTGCCCCATTCGGCAACAGGGACCCCCTTGAATAGGTTGAAGCCCTTTCCGTTAAGCAGGTGGTCTCTCGTAGTGGCGAGCAGTGGTGCCAGCCCGGGTAGAGGAAAGTTCTCCTTAGTGATGCCGGTGAGCGGAGTGCCGGCGGCAATAAATCTATCAGCAGCGGTGCTCAGTTCCTCAAGCTCGGCTTCGGTGAATCGATGAACCCATCTCTCTGGGTTGTTCTCATAGTCCTCTGGGTTCCATTTGGTGGCAGCATCAATGTGCTTGGGAAAGGCACTGTAGGGGTAGAGGTTTCCATAGATAGGCGGATGCTGGCCAGCAGTCTTGATGCCGTCTGGGAAAACGTCGAGGCTTACGTCTCCGACGGATGTCTTGGCCTTGATTTGGCTGGTCTGTGGGAGCAGAACAGCGGGAGACATTGTGAAGAATAAGAACAATATCCAAGATAGATGGGGAAGAATGTACACAAAGCGGGTAGACAGATGAATGAAAAAGACAGTGAGGGGGAGGGGTAATATCTCGAGATTGTCACTGCCCATTAATTATATGCCAGGGTTCACCATTCCCGTGGCCGTAATCGCATAGCACTGAAGCACGCAATCTTCACACTGGAATTCATCATTCCTGCTCGCACTAAACCATTGGCTTGGCCCAGCTCAATAAGCACGACATCATCGACATGTGGGTTGGTGGGTCGAACGTCGCTCCACCTGCATTGACATGTGTGTATAGATTAGATCATGAGCAGGGAGAAAAGTGCTGAAAGCGAGAGGCAAAGGGATGTCACTGGGCTCCATACTGAGAGGGATGAATACCAGGTAAGTAGGAGCGTAGCATTGCAGGGGCTAGATGCATGTATCCATGATCGTCATTGGCAGCCCGTTGTGCCAGCCGGTGGACTCCGTATATTTTCACCAAGCTGGCTCAAGTCGATCCCGTAAAGTTTAGCTGCCACCATTTGCTAACTCGTTATAGTATAATATGGGGAATGCTGTGTCCCCAACATGACAAAAATGATCCGGTTGTCTTTGCGCCAGTACCGGTTGGCCGGACGTGGTCGGGTATAGCGCCATTATAGTGAAATCACACGACAGCCGTGAGCTTCCATCTTCCGTGAGGGTATATCATCAATTAGCTGTGCCAAAGGAAAGATTGAGGATAACAATTTGTTTCTATTCATCACTAAACCAGATAACAATACTCACCTTCTCATCTCCGCTACCAGTCATCGATAATTTTGGTAGAGCGCCCTTCCCATATAGGCGACGAGATCGATCAAGATAGTCAGGCTTTCATCTTCTTCCCAGAAAGCTTCTTCTTCATCTCCCGGATTCGCCGCGTAGCCCTTCCCAAAACAAACGTAGCATAATCCCCATGCCCTTCCATCTTCTGGCTCGACTCGCGTTTGATTTGCATATACTCCTCCCGCTCTTCTGCTTGCTCTCCAATTGGTACAACCACCCCAGCATATCGACAGAGAATGGCATTGAGAATCATGCGGCACATTCTGCCATTGCCGTCCATGAATGGGTGAATCTGGACGAACTCGAGGGAATATTTGGATGCGGTTGAGAAAGGGTCAATGGCCTTGTTCCTCTCCGCATCTTCTAGCTCTTGTTTGAGGTTGTCGCACATCTCCGTCATCTTGGCAGGAACAAACTTGGGGACCGTGAAATTCGTAGTGCCAGCTCCTACGACAACGGTTCTGTATATCCCCCCATACTCATCCGGCTGGACGTCAGGGCCATCTGAGTCAGTGATGGGAACACCTTTGGCCAGTATGCGGTGCGTCTCTTTGATTAGGCTCTCAGTCAGATCTTGCTTTTCAACGACGAAGGCGTGGATCAGAAAGTGGAACGCTTTGGCGTGTTGGACCACCTCGTTGCGGCTCCGTAGGACGTCCTGGCTGGGCAAGTTCCGAAGGGTCGGGTCTCGACGGTAGAGCTCAAGAAGCGCAGATTGGCACTTTGAGTCGCGCTCGTCAATTGGCCTCACGTCCTCGCCATTGAGGATCTGTCGACAAAGGTGGATGGTATTATCCAGATTTAACCCGGCTCTCTCGATTTGGTTGCTTCCATAGATGGCTCGAATCATTGACTCTTGAATTTCCTTAGTGACCACATCCTGTATTTCGTCGGGTGGTGCGTTTTGAATGACCTCCAACCAGTTCTTCGCCTTGGCGAATAACTCTTCTGGTTGCTGGATGTCGGCGCGCTGACAGTAAATACCATCGGAATTTATGGTCATAGACACAGGAGCCACGGAACACTTTAAAGAAGATGGCCAGCCTCTGGATATTGTGCTCCTCATCTCGGTATTCATCATGGTTCTCCAGTTCCGGCTCTGTTTAGATGGAGATGCCATCTTGGTCTCAAAGAAGGAATGAAAATGGGATTGTTGTTGTCTGGAAAAAAAAAGAAATTCTCTGGGAGTATGGGTGACATAGTAGAAAAAAGGTGTTTTGGGTTTGCTCAGTGTTTGTGTTTGTGTTTGTCTAATTTCTACGGCAGGAGTTCAAGCTTTCTTGCTAGACAAGCCATGCAAAGTAAATTTACAAGACAAGGTTCCAATACTCCATAAACTGTCATATGATTAAAAGAATATTCTTAAACAGAAACTCTGCGCAAAGCAGGAGTCAGAAAACTATCTTCCCAGAAAACTAACTCGTCTGACGAGGACGGGGACTTCGAGACAGCGGCAGGCGATTGACATAAAACATGGCTCACCCAGAACCTCCAGCAATGAATTGCAACACAATATCAAAACAATTAACCCAGTAATAAACACAATATCGAGCTAAATATTATGGAATAATTTATAATTAGCTTATGATTATGATTGCCATTGTTAATAAGAAAATGAGGTCTGACTTACAAAAAAAGAGCCTTAGTGTGCCATGTTTTATGTCAGTCGCTTGAGCAGGAACGGATCAAGACACGCAGGATACACCACAAAGACCTCCTCACAAAAGATAGAAGAGAAGCTAGGGAAAAACTTACGGTCGGAAAAAGACGCCCGCCAAATCGCTCAAGGAAGTCAGATGGATAGGAAATATCATGTAATAATCACTATGTTATTTGGTTAGAAGCAGGAAGTGAGATAAATAGGAAATATAACGTAATGGTCGCTGTGTTATTTAATAAGATAGAACACGCTACATAACAACTACCATAGTGTTTACTCACTTAGAATACTAGAATTAATAGTATTAGTTCGATGTATTAGAACATTCAGGACGAATATTCTTTACGAGGTGGAGGTTATCATAGACCAAGTGGCCGGACACATGACCTAGATAGATCCAAAAGATCCAACACATCAGAAACCTAGCTTAGATCAATCAAAGCTATTCATATACAATTAACCTGTCCCTCATGACCGTCGCATAACAACATGACTTCTAAGCGTCTACTTTATGAAATGCAAGTTTCTGCCTACGATGCCCATGGAAACGGTCGACCTCACTTGGAGTTCTTAGCAAGGTCCACGAGCCAATCGGCGACTCTGTCCTTCTCTGATATCATTGCTCCATGGTCGCCAGGTATCCTCGTGATCTTAACGGGCTTGCCCCTGGCCTCCTCCATCTTCTGAATTCCAAGCAGCTGGTTCTCGGGTGGAATCGTGAGATCATTTTCGCACAACAGGTAAGAAATGGGTATCTCGGGGTCGGCGTATGCCAGCTGAGTGGCGTTGTCCGCAAAACTTTGGGCCGAGTGCTGTGAAAACTTTTGTACCCAGACCAGTGCCTCGCTCAGAGGCAGGTTGTTCAAGGCAGTCTCCGCAGCTCGAGTGAGGTTTGCCTGTGTCATCCATCCTTGATCCTGCTACGAGTTAGCTCATCGCTCTAGCTTCTTGATGGCGAAATATTTAATATCCACAAAGCTGCTTACATCTATCGTGACCTGAGGTTGAGACTCCGTGGGGAATCCGGCACTGATCTGTAGGGCAGACTCCCCCAAGGCTGGGACCATGGATGTGATGTAGCCCAATCCCACGAGACCACCTCTCTTTCCCTTAGCCCGTCTCCTTTTCTTGCTCAGGCTCCCGCCAGCCTGAGTCAACGGAATGCCAGAGTAGGAATGAGACACAACAATGACGTCTTTGCCGACATCCGCTAGCTTCTCAACCTCACTAACAATCATGGCCGCATCATCGTACATTGAAGGGGGCGTTCTTGTGTCGTTGGGCCCCTGCCGGACCGTGAGAAGCTCAGGAACATGCATGTCAATGCCTTTGGCTTGCACGGCATCTCTCAATGGAAAATAGAGCTCCGCCCTGACAAAAGAGCCCGGGAGCAGAATAACAGACGGGTGTGAGCACATGGTTGTGGCTTGTTGGCGATGGATGAGTTTTTGACTTATTCGGAGTCGAGCGTTGAGAGATGGCGATGGGAATGATACTCACATATTTTAGAGAATACCTCAGCTTCTTATACATGTAGTCATCGAAGTCGAAAAGATCGTTATTTGACCCTTACTTCTCCGTTGCTGACCCAAGGATCGCCCCTAGCGGACTTCCGCCCTCGACCACGGTCCAAGTGTTCCACCGAGTTACGTAACTGTCCCTGGCAGGGAAGCTTAATGGAATGGAATTGCTCCGAACGGTTTTTTTTATCTAGCCTGGACCCTGGATATAGTTAGAGTAATGCTAGGTTCAAGGATCTAACTACCGGGTTGTCGGGATTTCACCAATGGTCCAGAGTCAAACGGAACGAGGCAACTGCTGATATTAGAATGGGACCGACGGAGGAATTCTGTGAGCGGTTTGTAATTTCCGGATTTCTCAGCATCACAGAGCATCCACTCACCTGGTCCAAATCCGCCCATATGATAGCTAGCTGTAAACGGAACCAAATTCCAAGCAATTCCTAAAGCCACGCTTGCGACCGCAGAGACTCTAGGCTAGCTTTCGTGGGGGTTCTACGGCATTAGAAGGATGCGAGATGTTTGCCGCAGCCGACATTGCCTTAGATGGGACACACATCTGTAGGTTTTCTTTAAAGAGGGAGTGCTGGAAACCTCTAGATTCATCCGGCCTCGGTCTAGCAGTTTCATATCTAGAACAAAACCGAAATCAGCTCCAACTTATCGTCGCCTAAGACGAGCCCCCGACATGGATAGTGTGACTTGAGGAATTTGTCAGCTGCTTAATGGAATATCCGGATAAAAAAGTTTGCACGCTTCAAGCGCTAGAACAGGTTGCCGAGAGTACAGGTTGTCAGAGGTCAGCCTCGATGGGCAGTTACACTCCTCCCGCTAACAACGCAATGGTCCTCAGGGTGCTGTCAGAGGAAATTGACCGTTCCGTTAGTATATCCAGTACCCCAATTGGATGATTTGGGCCTTGGGATGACTCGGGAACAGTGTACTTCCATTACCTTGCCGCATGCTGGGCTTCGAAGGGTTCAGTTGTCGTGGGTCTTCCGATGCTTGGGATTCCAGACAGGTGCGATGAGCTCCTTTCGATCTATTGAGATAAGTCAGACATGAGGAAGACTTGTAGCACCATGAACGCAAAACTCGTAGCCACCAGAATTCTAATTCAGCACCCATTACCTGTTGTGGTTTAGGATGTGAGGGTAATTTTATGGCTGAAAAGCCGCGTTGGAAAGAATACTTTCCAGCATGGGAAAATTGGGCATTGGTGGAGTAGACTTAACTCAAGCGCTCTCTTTGAATTTTATAATTCTTGTTCGCTTTGAGCCAACACAGACAACGAACATGGCGGTGCTGTAACTCCCAAGTATCATCAATTCGTCATCAGTCCATCAACCGCGCGCTCAAACCGTCGAGCCATCGTGCTTCCACGATTTATTGGAGCATTAGAGGCCGATCGGATCATCGTGCTCAATTTGACCATTGAGGCATCGATACGTCGTCCGGGACGAAGAGGTGGTCTCATTAAAAGGTAGTTCCAAGTGGCGATTGTCGTTTGGGCGGTTTGCAAGGCCAGATCAACATTCGGTTCGGATCTGCTGATCAGCTCTGCAGTCTCTCAGAGGTAGGTACTCACCTTCACCGCATGGGGTATGATGTTGAGCTCGCCGTCTTGTTCGGTTTCAAAGTGTTGATGGGATGCAGATTGGCAGTTGGTCAGATCAACATCACCACGGGTGGCACGAATACTCTGGGACGGAGAGAACAACGGAGGCACTCGCATTAGGGAGCGGATATATATATATCGCTTCCTAGTATCAAGTGAGTTCAAGTTTCTAGTCGATATCGACAGAGGAAATCAAAACTGCGAGGGGGAGGTGTCAATTGTCGGTGCTGGAATTCTGGCAGTTCAAGATGGAGTAGAACCTAGGATGCTTAAGTTCTGGGAAGCATGAGCATGTTGAAAGGATAAAAAGTAAAAAGGTGCAAAGAAACTGCATCATAGGACTGTGCATGCGAGCGTGTAGAGTAGTGATCGATGGGATGACTTTGGTGAGAGATGCAAGAGTACGTTGAAAGGAAACATCATGTAGTGGGGCTGCAGGGGCGGGGTGATAAAAGGAAAACACCAAAGAACGGGATTCAACTATCGCCAAAGGGCATCGAGATTATTACAGAAGGGCAGCACGGGGAGGAAAGGGGCGGAACGAGGGGAGCGGGCAACGGGGCGCGGGCTGTGGGGGCGCGTGCTTGGACTTCCCCAGCACACGACCGCGTCACTCCTCAACCTCAACACCAAAACAACATACCAAAAAAAAGAAGAGGAAAAAAATAGGTGCCTCGAACCGGCGGCCTCGCAAACAGACCACTCTCAGGAGCTGAGGGAAAGGGGAATGGGCAGGGGGGACGACACTCTAGAGATGCCAACCAGGCCACTGGTAGTCATTGGCGATAGCAGGCACAAAGATATTGACTGATAACCCTTCAGAGTGTCAAGGGATATGCAAATAACAAAAAAAAGAGCAAAAAAAAGGAAAAGAAGGGCCTCGAACCCAGTGGCTTCGTCGGTAGACACGCGGCGCGAAAGGGGCTTAAGTATAAGCAAGCAATACCCCCAATGTGGCAATCTACTGACTACACCACTGAGCTGTCATCGGCTGGTAGTTGTGTCATTCTCATGTGTTATGAAGGTTTCACGTCGGTTGATGGGTTATTCCCTGATGAGAAGCTGGAACACTGGACAGCGGTCTCCTTGTAGGGGAGAGTACTAAGCCTAAGCCGCCTGAACCGACGCATTCTAAAGCAAAACAGCGTAATAACGTGATTCATGACAATTGGAGAAGCTTCTTAGCATGGGGAAACTTCTCTTGTTCGTCGTATTACTGTGGTGTTGAGGAACCTGGGAAGCAAGCCTCCAGCCCATTCCCCGCTGGCCATGATGTGGCACTCCCCTCGGTTACTTCGCACCCCTCCTGTTTTGAAAAACAAGTCTCCCTATCATCTACTTGCATCTTGCAGATTGTTTTTTCTAAAATTTAAAATCCCAAGTTGCAGTAAACCGCGACCAAGTTTTGAGAAATCATTAGTGAACGCCGCCTTTTACGACTGCTTTATCTTGCCGACGTTTCGTCATTCCATCTTTCATTGTCTTTACTTGTTTGCGTCTCAACCGCTTTTTCTTTGCCATCGTTTTCTTTCTGAGCTGCATTGTGCGCGTCTTTTTCAATCAAGTTCGGGTGTTCACAGTCACGTTCACTTTGTCTTCGCGTTGTCTTTGTCCTCACAGTTATTTAATCCTCGCCTTTTTGCCCAAGCCGAGACGTTGCCACCCCCATAAGATCCTAATTTGCTAATCACGGACTGAAATAGACGCCGCCTCAAAGCTCGCGAATAAAATCAACCACCACCAATCGCGTTCACCAACATGGCAGAGTTCCAGACAAGCCAGGAAGAGTCCTTCGAGCTATTGCAATCCGGCAAATATAGCGACTTCGTATTAACTTGCAATGGAGTTGAATGGAATCTACACAGGGCCGTCGTCTGCATAAAGTCGCCAGTCATTGCGGCTGCGCTTGATGGCCTATTCGTTGTAAGGGATTTGCGCGACCGCCCCTGCAGCCCCTCGTCAAGAAAAAGGATGAAACTAATCTCGTCTTAATTAGGAGGCCACACTCGGTCGTATCTCGTCCGATTTCGACGTCGCAACAATGGCTCGTCTTGTCCAGTTTCTCTATGTTGGAGACTATTCCTCATGTCCTCTGTGGGCTGGGACATGGCCATCCTTGGAGGTGCTCTGGGACGAGGTTATGCAAAATCAATTGCAAGACTCGGGTCTACCTCCCTCACGCAGTCTGGAGGCCGAAATCGGTCTGAACATAGCTGCAGACTATTATAGGATTCCAGCACTCTCAGCCCTGACGAGTTCTCGTGTGGAGGACCTGCTCAACCGCCATTGGAATGCGGCCATATTTCCAGCCATTCTGAAGAATGCTGAAGATTCGGTAGCAGACAAGGGCTTGTGGCAGGTCATGATCGATGGAGCTGCGACTCACATGGACAGCCTGACGAAAACGAGAGAGTTCCATGAGGTGGGGTGGAAGCATGGGACGTATGTGCAAATTTTCTGTGCTTACGTCCGGATGGCGGAAGCAGAAGGGAGAGATAGGGAGATGTCAAGCATTCACACCGATGAGCAACAACATTCAGGTATACATGTACTGATCTAGTGGACGACGAGGGGTATCTCGTAACTTACCTATTCAAGGGGAATCTTACTACATGTACTCTGTGATCAAACATCACTTGCCCTAGACTTGAAATGAAATAGATTGACGGTTTTTTGTCATGTAGTTTTCAAAGTTGTTATGCGATAGATTATTCAAAAGAGCGAGATGTTTATTTAATCAATTCGACCTTCAGGTTAAGTGTATGGTGGGATTACGGGAGGTGTGCTCCACCGTGCCTACCTCTGATCGGCTTAAGATCGGGTAGAAGTGGTGACGCAGGAAACGGGCACCTTGGGCAACTGCCTTTATTCAGGTACCTGTAGCCATCGTTTAGTGGGATCATCGTTTATTAGTGCAGCACCTCCACAAACCGCCGAGTGCATGCCTTGACCGAGCACATACTCAACGAATCTCCAAGTTCATTCTTTCCCACCATATTGACTAAAAATTCCCTCCTTCTTGTTCGAACCGTCTGTCGACTCTCCAACTATATTTGCGAGACTGCCTACACGTTATTGGAAAGTAGACGGCTAAGAGACCAACTACGGAGCGTAAGGTGAGCTGCACTGTCAAGTCTGGTTGGAGAGCCGTCATCCGGTTTCACTTGGTTCATATTATCAAGCTAAAAATTATAATAATGTTAGGTGCCAGATCCCACTCCATAACCTTCACCAGTGCCCCCTTCTGACCTATCTTGGGTCGTACCCGCGAGCCCCAAGAACCATGCCAAACAAATGATGCCTCAAGACGCCCCCCCAACCGAACTTTGCAAAGAAACACCTTGCTCTTGTTCCTGGAATGACAAGACGGATGACGACCCGTCTGCGCGAAATCCTCTATGGTGAGCGCATTGAGAGAAGTTCAAAGGCCGGCCCAATAGATGCCTGCATGGGCGTTATAGGCGCCGGCGCAGAGGACAGGGACACATCAGAACGCGGGCTCGTCGGCGACTCCACCGGGGTACGCTTGGGGTTCACAGTGAGGCTAGTAACCTCCTTGACGCTTCGCTGGATCTGCTGCAAGGCCTTCATCGTCTCGGGCGGGAACGCCACCATGGGGTGAGACGACCTGATGAGCGCGCCGAGCTGCGTCCAGGCCTCGACGTACTCGTAGCAGATGGACCCGAACCTTCTGTTGAGGCAATCACCCCTCATAACGGCGGGGAGGTTCTTTTCCAGGCAGCCGGCTCGCTCGATCATCCGGGAGCATGACGTGAAGAGAAGCTGGTAGGTGTCGATCATGTGTGGCTTGGGCTCCAACATGAGTATCTGAGAGAGGCCCCCCGTTATTTGCTGACTGAGATTTGGTAGGGTGTCAAGGACAAGCCGACATGATCGCTGGAGAACTGTCCGAATGAGGTCAAGACGCTCCCATTCACGGCGGCGATCGGGGACAGCGTCTGGCTCCGTCTCTGACTCTGGCGGTGTAACGGTCAAAGGTTTCAGTGGTCGGGATGTGATGTGGCGCGGGCTTTGACGAATACCGAGTCCCGTTTGTGCCGTTGACGAGCGATTTGGCCGGACCGTCATCTTGTAGTCAGAGTCCTCGCTTTGTGAATGTTGCATGAACTCCCCACGAAAACCCATAACGCTGCTATACATGAGGCTAATGAGATTCCGAACGAACCGCGGGTCGCCTCTGTCGACCAACCTGTCGAGATTGGTCACGACTTGAGAGCAGACGGCCATGTAATTATTAACGAGGTCAGCGCATGTATGTCTAATAATATTCCTATCCGCTTCTTCCAGTCCTTGCTGACTCAGTACCGAATGCTTTTGGATCAATTGTCCGAGAATATTAAGATCGAAAGTCGCCTTCTCGATAGTCAACTGCAGAGCTGAGCGTCTGTTTGGCACGTCGGAAGCGATGCCTGAGAGAGCTTGGAGTGGTAGATGAAGCTGGTTGACAGATAAATATAGGGTCCGAGCCATGCCGAGCAACGGCTCGTCTGCCAATGGGCGAGACGGCTGAACGGCCAATGCCGCTAAGACGCTTCTTTTCCTGGAATTGACAGTATTTGACGTCCTTTCCTGGTCCCCGGGTCGATGAGGTTCGGCGCCAAAAGTCACTCTACGAGGGCGCTGGATCATCACTGGAGATTGGAGTGGATTCCAAGGCGGATGTTTGACTTGAGCAGTCGGGTAAATATTGCCTGTCTGGATACTTAACCCCCTTGCGGCTCTTTGTGGTGCGTCCCCAACCTCAGTAATGGTGGGTGGGATGAGACACGGGCTTCGAAGGGCGAAGCTCTGCTGGGAGAAGGCTTTCGAGTGGAAGGCGATAGGCGATGGGGGCGGGTTCGAGGGTTGGGAGTGGCTCTCGCGAACCTTCACTGGGAAACGACCCGGTCGGCTGGACCTGGACGAACGCTTCGGCTGATCTGTTATTGGACTTGGCGGATATCTCAATTCCCCCATCGGATGAGTTATAGTGGTACTGGGGTTGCTATCCTTCAAATACTGCTTGATTCGAGTGGTTACGGCAATCTCAGCCAAGTTCACCGGCTCAGATATGGTCTTGGTCGACGATCGATGCGAAGTCAAGATCCGTCTCAGCTTTTGGTTCAGCGGATTTCCCTCCACTTTGAAGACTTGGAGCAGGGTCATGTCCGCGATGCAAGCAGGGACCTCCTGCAGGAGATTGTCCCTTATGGCTAAGACTTTGAGCGAAGTGACCTTTGAGATATCTTCAGGAAGCGCCTGGATTTTGTTGACACTCAAGTCGAGAATCTCTAGGCGCGGTAGAAAGAATGTCTACGTCGGGATCAGCACAAGTCCGTTAGTAAGTGGCTCATCTAGACTAATACCTACCACTGGAGGAAATGACTTGATACAGTTATCCCGAGCATTTAGGTATCGTAATGATGAGAAGGTCGAGAACTCCAAAGGGATATTGGATAACATATTCTCAGGTAGCGCCAGTCTATTTTCACGAGCGTTCATTAATTCGAGGCTCTAGCATTTTTGGGGAGAAATCATACCTCTGGATATCCCGCGGGACAATCTTGATGATGCTGTCGGTGAGGACCCCAATCTTCTTGCCGCTGAGGTTGATGGTCATGCCCTGATTGATATCCGTGTCGAGAGCAGACTCCTTTTCCACGTGCTGCTCGGTATCGAGCGCCTTCCTCACAGCCTCTAACACCAATTGAAATGCCTGGTCGTCCGATATGGGGACCGATCTGCTCCCAAGAACATTGAAGGACGGACGATGATTCAGTCTCTGTCTGCTGGTCCACGGGAACTGTCGCCTGCCAGACCGAAGAGAGACGGGGCTCCCCGGATCCATGGTGGAGGGCTTCATCTCCGGATATCTCAAAGCCTCCTAGGGCTGCGGAGGAGAAGATGAGAACTTATCCGCGACCGGAGCAGCCACCAGGACATTTCCCTCGGGTGCAGCCGGTGCCTGTGTGTGTCGTTGGGTGGTGACTCGGGTGAGGTGACAGGCAACACCAACCACTCATACGATGAGTAACGTAGCAACGAGACAATGCAATTGATCAGTGAATCCGGCAACGTCGGGCGCCGCCAGAGTCCATTCACACACGGCATCGCATTGACCTTGATTTCGGTGAAGCATGAAGAAGCACAAGCAGAGTGAAACGGCCTACGACATACTACCCATCTTATTAGGGGAGCGCAAGGACCTACCAGGGGGGCCGACAGAGACAGCAACTCACATACATCCGAGGGGCCGATTGGCATGCAGGGATGCTCCCAACAGACCTAGCGGACGCACAGTCCTCTGTCAGCACGGCGAACGGGCTCGTGTAAACTCGTGTTGGCCAACTAGGCAAAGCCATTGCCCCAGGGGGCTTGAGACACAGTTTCAGCTCTACCTGTCAGCGCCCAATTGCAGGCTCTGGAGCACTCCGGTACGACAGCTCGTTTTTTGAGAACTCCATCAGCCCACAAACGGCACCGTTGCATTGACCTCGGGATCTGGGGATCTACACTGCGTCCAAGGCACATTCAGGGAAATGCTACACTCAAGGTTCGTTGGTAGAACCTCCCCTGTCCATGCTCCTTGTCAGTGTCACTGTCTTGGCAAACTTTGTGACTGACGATTCTATTGGACCTCTTATCGCCGAACAGCACCAACAGGTGCTTCTATTGTTTACGAACAATGCATCCAAGCGGCGGCAGATTTTTTTTTGTCCCGCTCCCACTCGAATATCGTGAATTATCCATGCGGTCCCCGTTCCGCTTGACTATTCGCCTGTTGCACGGACTCCTCAGTGCATCGAATGTCAGCTCTTGTGAGTCGCTATCTTTTAGATACCTTCCGACCTAAACATGTCAATCCAAAGAACGTTGGACAACATGTATCTTACTCGAGCAAAAAGAAGTGCCTCACCCAAGGGAATTAACAGGACTAGGCGTAGCCGATAGATATCTTAACCGAGTTGTCCCCTCTCGCGGGCTGGACGCTCCAATGAGGATAACATTTTCATCTCCATCCCTTGCTGCTTTCACAAGCAGCAACGCACAATCATTTTGATTGAGCTACGGCAATAGGGAGAGCAATACTACCGCTAGTATCTTATATCTTGACCTCAAAGTCCTTGGTCAAAACTACCAAGGTTCTCTCCTCACCTCGATATCTACTATGCGGAGAACGCAGCTTGGCCACAGCAGTGCATTCTCTTTAGATTGAACTTCACGTGGTTGAGAAAGGCGTCTTAAATGGGTCCGCCATAGGTCAAATCTAAGTTTGAGTCGCGCGAGGCGGGATCCATATTCGGATTCTCCCAGCTCTAGTCATACTTTAAATATACCTCCGAAACGAGTGGAGTCTGCCTTGCCGGTGCTAACAGAGGAATGGAGGCAATAGAAATTGATGGGGCCCCGCTTGCCTGGCTGCTACAAAGTATGCTATCAAGGCTTTACCCGTAGTTAATAAGTCGCCGGAGCACTTTTTATGGAAGTCCCCGATCGACAGCAGTATCTGGTTCTTCAAAGCTAAGCCAGGGACTTTTCCGGAGGCTCTGCAAACATGTTTTTACCGTGATGTTTCTAAAATGCAATCCATTCCTAGTCCTTTGAGCGCAACACTGTAATGTGATCAGCTCCCCACGCGCCTTATGATTTTCGTCCGCCAATCGTGAGCTCATGCAGCATTTCAGAACGTTGACCAAAGAAAGCGGACACGGAGAAAATTACACGGGACGAGACGAAGCGTGCTGCATTTTCTAACATTTCTCTACGACGAGTTAAATTGCGTGCTGTAGAATGCGGAATGTTAGTCTGGAGTTTCGAGTTCATGTCAAGGCTTGGGCAAAATGCAGCTTTTACCACGCAAATGAAAACACTTTGGGTTATCATTAGACAAGGATAACCTCAGTAAACTACCCAATTTCAGGAAACTTCCGCACAAATCAGCTCCAGCATTACAAGTTCAGGCTTCAACGCCCGCTTTCAAGTCTCGCCGCCTAGTTCTCAAGCGAAGGAAAATTAGAATTAAAATTGAAGACTCTCCACTTACATCCTCCAGGAATCATCTATCTGTGAAATCGGTTTTTTTTGGTCTGTGATCTCCAAATCAGATCGGCCTAACACTCCAACTCGGGTTCTGATAAAAATCGATGGGGACAAGTGGTACAATTTGGTAACATCATAACAATTCTCCGAAGGGCAGGGCCTACTGGAATTACCTATTCGCTGCCGCCATCAATCCATCCACCCATCTTGAAGGCAACCACAGTCACTGTTCATTGTTCCTTGTTTGTTTGCTAGTGGGGACATGTGGCTAGTATGACTCTGATAGCTATACACCACGTTTAGGACCTACTAAGTGCACAGTTGCCTTAAGCTGCTTAAGGGGCTGGGAGTTTACCCAAGAGTAGGGAGCAGATTCAAGATACACCTTAGGAAGTAGATCTTTCTTTCGCAAAGTACCAATTATTGCGGTCAAGATCGTTTTACTTACATCTCTGAGAAGTTCTAAGATGACATGGGGATTTTGAGGTTGCCCCCGGGCATCAGGATGGAATGTCTCTCAGTCAACGAGGGGTCGGGGGTTGAGTGAAAACTTGTGCCGGGGATGTGTTTGCTAAAGTGAACTATTGTCATCGTCTACTCGTGAATACGGACCACGGCAAGCCGCATATTCAGGCTGAATTATGTCACACGCGGCTGAATATTTGAGTACTACCTACAGTAGATGTTCTAGCCGAATCAGGGTAATTGGGCGGGAATCTTGAGATGGGCCATATGCCGACCGAGCCGGCCGGAGCCATGTTAAACGTGATAATGGAGTATTTCACTCCGAAATTCTCTGGTTTTGCGGGGTGGTACAACTCATGATCCGGTCCGTGAAGCGAATACGAACGCGTTCCGCGAGGAGGTTGAAAAGCACCCGAAGCCCATGTTTTGAGCGGAAATCTGTCTGCATTAGCATTCTTGTTAACATTGCATAAGAGAAATCACAGTGCTTTCATCCCTAACTATGCATCTGACTTCCTTTCAACATGCCGCCAGCGCAGCTCTCTTTGCCGTTGGTGTTAGTTGTCAAAGCAGCTTAACGGCATCTTACAGCAACACCCTGCAGACAATTACCGGCTTTGGTGTTTCTCAGGCCTTCGGAAGAGCTCAGGAATTCTATAACATGAGTCCTACTCCACGACAAAAAGGCTTGGATTATCTTTTCAGTACGACCGCCGGGGCGGGGCTGACAATTGTACGAAATCGAGTCGGTTCTGGAACGGTCGCTTCAGACAGTATCCTGCCTACGAGTCCCGGTTGCCCAACTTGCCAGCCGTCATACTCATGGGATGGGGTCGATCGTGGCCAGGTATGGTTCAGCAAAGCAGCCCAGTCTTATGGGGTGCAGACATTTTATGCGGACGCGTGGTCCGCGCCCGGTTTCATGAAGACAAACGGTTTAGAGACTGGCGGAGGATATTTGTGCGGCGTAACTGGCCGTACTTGCTCCAGTGGTGACTGGCGACAAGCATACGCAAACATGTTAGCACAGTATGTTAAATACTATCAGCAAGAGGGAATTACCATAACACACTTGGGTTTCCTCAACGAACCTGACTACACGTAAGTTATGTCACCCTTGCGAAATGACGACCCCTAACCAACACTCCACCCATAGGACATCCTACTCCTCAATGCAATCGAATGGAAAGGAGGCGGCCTCGTTTATTCCGACTCTTCGAAACACGCTCAATAATAACGGGTTGAGTTCTGTGCAGCTCGCATGCTGTGATGCTGTGGGGTGGTCTTCTCAGCGGACGATAACAACGGACCTTCTTTCGTCTGGTGTGCAAGGGCAGCTCGGCGTCATTACATCCCACACCTATGGGAGCGACGTAGACGGAACTATAAATACCAGTGGCCTCCCTGTCTGGGTTACAGAAGCAGCCGACCTGAACTCGGCCTGGTGCACGACGTGGTATTCGAACGGCGGACTTTGCGAAGGCCTCACGTGGGCCAAGAGGATAGCGACCGGAATCGTCACTGGGAATTTGTCAGCTTACATCTACTGGCAAGGCGTCGAGGTGAACCAATTCCAAGCGTCTTCATACCTCGTGGCGAGCGATGGAACGAATGTGACTCCCAGCGGTCGCCTCTGGGCGTTCGCAATGTGGTCAAGATACGTGCGTCCGGGAGCACGGAGACTCAGCACCACAGGGACGATTCCGAATGTGATCTGGGCTACTCTCAAGAATACCGACGGATCGGTTGTCGCAGTCTTTACCAACACGGGTGGTAGTGCTCAGAGTGCCTCGCTGAAAATCGATGGATACATCCCAACTAAAGCTTCTGGCTGGGTTGTGAACAACGCAACTGGGAACAATATTGCATCTCAACCTGTATCCCTGAGCGGCGGCACTGCACTCGTTTCTATCCCAGCCTACTCTGTGGTCACGGCCGTTCTCAATCAGTAGGGCTCGAGATATCTCGAAGTCGGATGTTTGACAGGGTGGGGAATTCGAATGCTGCTCTCCTGTAAGAACTGAAGTTAGTCCTAGTTGTGAATTCGCGGAGTATCAACAACGGGGCCTGTTCCTGTGCTGATGTCGTTCTCAGTCCCTAATACATGCTAAGCTGTTGGATTTCGTGTTTGCGGCTTCCATTAGTTGCGGGAGGCAGCGAAGAGTGCTCAACTTGCTATCATTCGCAGAAGTTGAGAATGAACTCCGGAAGCCATTGATTGTGTAGGTGCCTACTAAGAGATCATTCACACCCTATGTACGTACGTAACTGGCAGGCGGTTGGCGGTGACCATAGGCGGTGAGTGGACTTGACGCCTTCAATTCTGCCGGACGTTCTTGAACC